CTCTCTCTCTCTCTCTCTCTCTCTCCCTTCCTCCCTCTCTCTCTCTCTTTCCCGCTCTCTCTCTCCCTCTCACTCTCTCTCTCCCTCCCTCTCTCTCTCTCTAACTCTCTCCCTCTCACTCTCTCATTCACTCTTACTCCCTCTCTCTCTCTCTCTCTCCCGCTATGCTCTCATTTCTTCCCTTTTGTTTCTCTCTCTAGAGTGGTTTAGGGAGAGAAGCTTTGGGATTGCTAGAGGGGGTGGCCCTAGGTCACCTCCTCCAAATGGGGAAAATAGAGGTAGAGGCGATGGCAAGAAGGAAGGTAGGCAAGGAAATAGGTGGCAAGTGTTTGCCATGGAAGATGCCATCGGTGGTGGGCCGGCGGCACAAGCCTCTAGGGTCGGGAATCCGGCCAGATATCTGGGTATTGGCAGATTTTTGGCCAACTCTAGCAAAGGTACGGCTCCTCTTGGAGTTTGGGAGGAGAAGGGGATTAAGGCCTCTATCCCTTCAAGACCGGGCAAGGAGAATGCTCAAGAGTTGAGCAAAGTTACAGCCTCTAAGGGCTCGACGGCTGCTGCTAGGGAGGGACCGATCACCACCTTCACGCCTCTTAAGGGGAACTTCGAGCTGGGCATCTCGTCACCATTAACCAAGCCTATAGCTGTTCGAGAGCTCATTATGAGCTCTATCGGCATATCTCCTCCTAAAGGGGCTGCTTGTGATGAGGCTTTTGGTCGGGAGGAAGGCCCCGAACAGGCTGTGGACAGGAGCTGCTATAGCCTGAGCAATGGCTCCCTGCGTGCGAGCAGCGATGGTATGGAGGACGGCGAACCTGTTAAGTCCGACCAGGAGGTGCTTGAAACCAAAAAGATGGAGGAGTTGAAGGATGATTCGGGCTCCCAAACGGCCATGGACGACGACAGCTGCACTCGGGCTGAGCTGCAGCTTCAGGTGTTGGCGGAAGCTGTCCTTCCTGGAAATCGTGGGGCTATTTCTTGGGCTAACTGCACCGAATTTGAGGTGCATCCTGAGCCAGGACTTGTTTTGAATGGGGAAGGGATTGCTGTGGAGATGGACTGCACTATGAATGAGTGCAATACTGCTAGTCATAGGTGTGATCAGCCCCCTGGTCCAGCAGAGGGTGAACAAAAAACTACTGGAGTATGCCCCCAAGGTGTTTGTGGTGATGTCCCCAAAGCTTATAACTTGCCAAGACCTTCGCTGCAGCCAACACAGGCTCCGTCCCTGCAGCCGAAAGGGTTTTCCAAGGAACCCTTTGCGTGGAGCAGGGTTCAACATGTGCCAATTGATCGCCTAAGCCGTGAGCAGTGGCTTGCTAAGGATGGCCTTTGCATTGAACCGGAAATTCGCTCTGTCAATGGAAACATTTCAAGACTTGATAAAGCAATCGTAGCCAAGCTAATGGAGCATCATATTTCATTTCCTTTCCTTCGTGAAGAGCTAAAACGGAGATGGTATCATTTTGGGGACTTTGAGATCATCACAGTTGCCGCCAATACTTTCATTTGCCTATTTCAAAGCGTTGAGGCAAGGGATACCGTATTGGCTAATGGGCCGTGGATTGTGGCCGGAAATATCATAGGTATAGACAAGTGGACCTCCACTTTCTCTCCCTCGTCGATGCACGGACTCCATTCCCCAATCTGGGTTCGTTTGCCGCATCTACCGTTGATCTATTGGGATGTTAACAACATCACACGCATTGCTAATGGGATTGGGGAGCATCTTTGGATGGATTCACATACGAGCACATGGGGTAGGTCATCGTTTGCACGCATTTGTGTAAGGATTGATGTTTCCCAAAAACTGCTCCCTGGAGTTTGGATCAATGGTATTCATGGGCGATTCTTCCAAAGAATTGAATACGAAGGGCTTACCAACTTCTGCTTCGATTGTGGGCACATTAGTCATGCCATCGAAAAGTGCTCGTCGAAGATTAATGGTGGAGGGGTGGCCCCCACTAGTGCTCGAGCCCAACACCCCAACAAATTCCAACCAAGGGACCTACCCGTGAACGGCCACCCCCTTGGATCGGAACAACCTGCTAGGGACGGTCCCCTTGATCGTGAGGAGCAAGAGGAGGACTCCTTTGGAGAGTGGAATCTGGTCACTCGTAAGAAGAAAGGCAAGAAGAAGGGATCTTCTGTGCTCCCAACTACTGGACAGAGTAAAGAAACCGACCAGGGCTCTCTCTCCCGTGCTACCAAGGAAATCCAACAGCAAATGGAGTAGATCTCCAACAGAATTGTCAACCCGAGCAACTCTCTCTCCAAGAATCAAAAGGTAGCTTTTAATGCTTCTAAACCGGCTCAGGATGCCTCTCCGTCGACGATCAATATCTCAAAGCGACAGCATAAGACCCCCAAGTCATTCATGGAGAAGCAACTACTCCAGCTTGGGCCGATTACCACCCTGCCCAGGAAAAGTAGGAAGAACTTGCAAGATGACACAGGCGAGGACTTTGTCCCCTTTGAGGAACAATGAGACCCAACCTGTATACATGTCTTAGGGGGATAGTGGTGCACAAACGGCTGCCAGAGCAATGGGATATCCTTCTGCCCTCGGGCAGGTTGACCCCTTTCTCAGGTATCTCCCCCCTCTGGAGTTGTTCTTTGTGCACTACTGGACCTACTGAGGCATGCAATCGGGATGGGCCTCCTTGTGAATCAAAGGGCTTCTTCTCCTTACTTTTTTTTCTTTCCTTTTGTTGTGTCATACTTGTATGGTTGTCTTTACAGTCTTAGACCTTCCCACTTTTGTTTTTTGCCTAGGGAAGGCAGCTAATTTTTCCATACATGCAATGTACACCTTTTATTTTAATTAATGCAAATGCAATCTTGAGCTCTCTCTCTCTCCCGCTCACTTCGCAGCACTCCTGGGATTGGCCGGTTCTCGATCGCTCCAGCTAAAGGAGCAGCCCTACGCGATGTGTGGGAGGAAAAAGGCTTAAGATCTACGGTGGCTGCCAGATCTGGCAAAGAAAACTTTCAAGCACCGGTTAAGGTCGGTTCTCCGCCTGTTTCGATGGAAACGGCCTTATGTGAGCCGCGCATGGAGACCTAGGGGTGAGTAAGGCGGCAGATCTCATAGGTTTGTTGGATGCCATTGAGAAGGAACGGGTTATTAAGGTTTCCAAGTCGGCGGCTGTGCGTGAGCTGATTATGAGCTCCATCGGTATCTCCACTCCGACTACTGGTATGTTCGGGGGAGGACCGGCCGAGGCAAGTGAAATGGGGGAGGCGTGTTGGACGTCCAGCCAGCATCCCATGCTGGTTGATGTTAGCCTAAAAGAGGAGGCTCGATCTGATGAGCACCAGGAGATGAACTTGGTCGGGGCTACTGAATTCGACCAAGAGGCTTCCCTTGTGAATGATAGGGATGACTCGTGGCGGGATTCTACCGCTCCTTGCAGTATGGAAGATGACCAGGAGGAAGACAGTCCAGCACCCTGCCATGGTCCGGCTTGCCACCAGCTTGGACGAAGGTATGGGATCGGAACGCCTAGGAGATTGGGACTTCCAGGTAAGTCCAGAAATTGTTGCCAGCTCGTGTGGAGCTAGGCTGTCAATGGACATGGATGCTGCCATGGTGGAAACTGATTCTGATAGCAATAGGTGTGAACAGCCTATGATTACAGCCATGCCCATGCAAATTGCTACAGGATTATGCACTCAAGGTGCTTGTGGGAATGGCTCCAAGGCCCCTGATGCTGTTTTGCCAAAACTGCAGCCTACCAAGGCCGTTCCTCCACTGCCATTTGGTCGTCTGCACAGTCCCTTTGCGTGGAACAAGGTTCAGAACATGCCCCTTGAGAGGATGTCTCGGGATCATTTCGTTGCGAAGGATGGGACTACCATCGAACCTGAGCTCAACTCAGTCAAGGACAACATTGCCAAGCTTGACATAGCTATTGTGGCTAAGCTCATGGGAAGGCGCATTTCTTTCCCCTTCACTCTCCAGGAGCTTAAACGGAGATGGTTTCACTTTGGTGAATTTGAGATCATTACTATAGGCCCAAACACGTTCATTTACATATTCCAGAGTCATGAGGCCAGAGATGCCGTGCTTTCCAGTGGTCCTTAGATCATTGCGGGAAACATTATTGGGATGGACAAGTGGGACTCTACTTGCTCACCCAACTCCCTTCAGGGACATCACTCTCCAATCTGGATCCGCCTGCCTCAGCTCCCTCTCATCTATTGGGACCTTAACAACATCACTCGCATCTCTAACTCGCTCGGTGAGCCTTTATGGATGGATTCACACAAAAGCAAGTGGGGACGGTCATCCTTTGCACGCATCTGTGTAAAGATTGACGTCTCTCAAAAGCTACTTTCGGGAGTTTGGATCAATGGCAGATGTTTCCAGCGGGTGGAGTATGAAGGCCTTACAAATTTCTGTTTTGACTGTGGCTCCATTGGCCATGCGATAGGAAGCTACATCCCCATTGTAGCTGCTAAGGGACCATCTCCCACGCAGGGGACAGCATCTCAAACCGTCCATGCTCAGCATGGGGGGCTGCCCGTGACTGGGCCATCTTCTAAACCGGAGCAGCAAGCTACGTCCGTCCCCCACGGTCAAGGGGTGCAAGAGGAGGACTCGTTTGGTGATTGGAATCTGGTGACCAATAAGAGGAGAAACAAACTGAGAGCCCCCACCGAGAAGCCAACCAAAGGAACTATAAAGGGGGCTGAGCCTCCTCGGTCCCCGCCTCAGCTCTCTCATGCTGAATCTCAGCGGATGGAGGATATTTCCATGAGGATCGTCGAACCAAGCGGCAAAACATCTACAGAACAAAGGGTTACCTTCAGTGTCACAAGACCGGAGAATGATGCCCCCTCCTCAATAGTCAATCTTTCCAAACAACAGCACAAGGTTCCGATGACTTTTTTTGAGAAGCAGCTACTCCAGTTGGGACCAATAGCCACTCTGCCCAGGAAGCGGAGGAAGAATCTACAAGATGATATTGGCGGGGACTTTGTCCCCTTTGAGGAACAAGGAGGCCTTACCTTTTTACATGTTTTAGGGTGCTAGGGGTGTTTATACAACTGCCGCAGCAACGGGATATCTCTCAGCCTTCGGGCTGTTTCAAACCCTACTTAGGTATCTCCCCCCTCTGGAGTTGTTCCTTAAGCGCTCTTGGGACTTCTAGGACATGTATTTGGGGTTGGCCTCCTTGCGAATCAAAGGGGCTTTTCCTTGTTCCTGTTGTTTTTCTTTTGGGCTCTCGTTTTTGTATGGACGCTTACTCTTATATGTTCAGGTCTTCCCCCTTTCGTTTTTTGTCTTGGGAAGACATAGGCTTATAGTTCCATACTGTCATTGTACTTTTAACTTTTTAAGAATGCAATATGCAATATTCAGCTCTCTCTCTCTCTCTCCCCCCCTCACACACTCTCTCTCTCTCTCTCTCTCTCTCTCTCTCTCTGTCTATCTCTCTCTCTCCCGCTCACACACACACTCTCTCTCTACCTCTCACTCTCTCTCTAGAGTGGTTTAGAGAGATAAGCTTTGGGATAGAGAGAGGGGGTGGCCCTAGTTCACCTCCTCCAAATGGGGGAAACGGTGGGGGAGGAAGCAAGAGTGGCGGCAAGGAGGATAGGAGGCAAGGAAACCGTTGGCAAGTGCTTGCATCCGAGGAGGCCGACGGTGGAGGGCCGGCGGCTCACGCTACTAGGGGCGGTTGTCCGTCCAGATCTCCAGGTATTGGTCGGTTCTTGGCCAACTCAAGCAAAGGCTCGGCTCCTCTTGGAGTTTGGGAGGAGAGGGGAACTAAGGCCTCTAGCTCTACTCTGCCGGGCAAAGAGAATGCCCAGACATTGGCCAAGACGGTGGGAACCAAGTGCTAGGGGGCTACTCCCTTAGTGGAGCCGGTCACTAGATTTGTGCAGCCGGATGGAAAGTTTTCTCCAGGGATCTCCTACCCAATTTTAAAACCTACTGCAGTTCGGGAGCTTATCATGAGTGCGATTGGCATCTCCCCTCTGGCCAACTGGAGCCATGAAAACAGAGTGCCAAGGGAAGCGGGATCTGACCATCAAACGTCTTTGGGTGGCCACAGGGAGCAAACGTTGGACAACAGCTCAAAAAAGGATGCTAGATTTGAAGATGAAATGGAGCGTGGAAGTTGTAGCTCGAGCTCTCAGTCCGGTATCGAGGAGGACGGGCGTGCTGAGTCTGACCAGGAGGTTTGGTCGGCCAGCGAAATGGTGGAATCAGGCAAAACTTCTGGCCCCCAATCGGATATGGAGGACGATCAAGGTGAAGGGGCTGAGCTTCAGCTCAAGGCCCTCACGGAGGCTGTCCTTCCAACCGAGCGGGAAGCTGCTACCTGGGCTGACCTCGCTGAAGAACTGACTCCTCCCATGCTCGGACAGGTCTCACACAGTAACAAGAATATGGAGGATATGGATTGCACTATGTGTGTGTGCAATGCTGATAGTTCTAGGCGTGAATAGCCACCAAACCCAGCCACCTCTATGAAGGAAGATCCAGCACACTGCCCACAAGATGTTTGTGGAAATCCCTCCAAGAATCTAGATGCCGCAAGCATGCAGAACCAGGCTACCCGTAAGGCTGATTTCCCCATGGGAGGCACGGCTAAGAGTCCCTTCGCTTGGAACAAAGTTCAACTTGTGCCCATTTCGAAGCTCTTGAAGGATTCCTTCCTTGGAAAAGATGCGAAGTCGGTTGATCCTGAAATAGAGGCGGTTTACACTAATATTGCGAAGCATGATCGTGCTATTGTTGCTAAGGTTTTGGGGAGACGCATTGCTTTCCCCTTTCTCCTTATCGAACTCAAAAGGCGATGGTTTCATTTTGGCGAGTTCGACATTGTGACTATTGCTCCTAATTCGTTCATATGCTTATTTCAAAGCGAGGAAGCAAGAGATGCAGTGTTAGCTGGAGGGCCGTGGATCATTGGTGGAAATATTATCGGTATGAATAAATGGTCCCCCCATGCCTCTCATAACTTGATGCATGGGCTGCACTCCCTTATATGGATCAGACTACCTCAATTGCCTCTTATGTATTGGGATATAGGTAACATCACTCGTATTGCTAACATGATTGGCGACCCTATGTGGACGGACTCTCATACTAGCACTTGGGGACGTTCGTCCTTTGCTCGCATTTGTGTCAGGATCGACCTTTCACAAAAACTTGTTCCAGGGGTGTGGATCAATGGCATCCATGGATGATTTTTCCAAAGGGTGGAATATGAGGGGCTGACCAACTTTTGCTTTGACTGTGGCTTTATTGGCCATGCCAAGGGGAGTTGCTCTGCCCGGACCCCTGCGCAAGGACTGCCCCCACCCACCTCTACACAAACACCCCGTAATGTGACAGCCCAATCTGAGGATCGTCCCCCATCTGTCCAACCCCCAGCCCGAGGGCCCAAGCTCGGGATACCCCACCCAACCAAGCGAACCGGAAGACAAGGCGTATGGGGCCTGGAATTTGGTGACTTGCAAAAAGAGAGGCAAGACCAAGCCGAATAATGTTCCACAGCTGATTGAATAGGTGCAGCAAGAAGAGTCCCGCAAACCAGCTCAAGGCTCTCGGGAGCAACTCTCATGCATGGAGGACATTTCCAGTCGGATAGTCAACCCGAGCAGCCACCTAGCCAAGGACCACAAGATTGTCTTCAATGCGGAGCGGACTGCCCATGACCCACCCTCTTTGGATGTCAATCTAACTAAACGGCAACACAAGGCACCTAAGACTTTCTTGGAGAAGCAGCTTTTACAATTGGGACCAATCGCCACTTTACCCCGCAAGAAGCGGAAGAACTTATAAGATGACACTGGCGGGGACTTTGTCCCCTTTGAGGAATAATGAGGCCCTACCCCTATTCATGTCTTAGAGTGATGGTGGTGCTTATCCGGCTGCCGGGGCAACGAGATATCTACCCGCCCTCGGGCGTGTTAACTCCTATATTAGGTATCTCCCCCCCGGAGCTGTTCTTTAAGTATGACTGGATCTTCTAAGGCATGCATTTGGGATTGGACTCTTTGTGAATCAAAGGGGCTTATCCTCGTTTGCCTTGCTTTTCCTTTGTTTTGTCAACTTTGTATGGTGGTTTTCTTAGATTTAGACCTTCCCATTTTTGTTTTTTGCTTTGGGAAGGCAAATAGTATTTCCATACCTATGTTGTATTTTTTACTTTAATTAATCAATGCAAATGCAATTTTCAGCTCTCACTCTCTCTCTCTTTCTCTCTTTCTCTCTTTCTCTCTTTCTCTCTCCTTCTCACTCTCTCTCTCTCCCCTCTCTCTCTCTCTCTCTCTCTCTCTCTCTCTCTCTCTCCCTCTCACTCCCTCTTCTCTCTCTCTCTCCACTCTCTCTCTACGCTCTCTCTCTCTCTCTCTCTCTCTCTCTCTCTCTCTCTCTCTCTCTCTCTCCGGCTCACTCTCACTCTCTCTCTCTCTCATAAGCAGTGGTTGAAATGGCAGGGGCGAATGAAACAGAGGTTGGTTCTGCTGGATTGAGTAATTTGCAAAACAGCCCTCTAGGTGATTGTGGGAATGCTGCTTCAATTAGGAGCTCGAAAATTGCAAAAGGAAAGGCTCAGATGCAATTTGAGAATAGATTCCCGCTATTCTCTGGTGGTGCGAGTAATGCCTGGAGGAAGCCTGAGCATGTTCCGATCCAAAATCCAGAGGAGATAAATTCTTTGTCTAATGATGGGATCACTATTGATCTCAGCATGGAGTATGTTATGGCAAATGCGGCCAAATCGGAAAGGGCTGTCGTAGGGAAGATCCTGGGAAGGAGAGTTTCGTTTTTTCTACTGAAAAATGAAATCCAGCGTCAGTGGGGATGATTTGGGGAGTTTCAGCTTACAACGCTGGGACATGATTGCTTCATTTGTGTTTTTGGATTGACTTAAGCCAGGAATGCCGTTTTATGTGGTGGTCCATGGTTCATTGGAGGGAATATCATGGGGCTGGATCGATGGACGCCAATTCTCCCCGGAGTCAATGGAAGGATTATCTTCCTCGGTATGGATTCATCTTCCAAACCTTCCTCTTCAGTATTGGAATTATTGCAATATTGCCAGGATTGCGTCGAAGATCGGAGTACCACTCTGGATTGATGCGCAGACGGGAAACTGGGGGAGAAGGGAATATGCCGGGTGTGTGTTCGAATGTGATTGGATAGGAAACTCCAACCTGGGATTTGGATTAATGGTATGAACGGGAGGTTCTACCAAAAGGTATAATATGAAGGCATTGGGATGTTATGCTATGGATGTGGAAAAGTGGGGCATCGGAAGGAGTTCTGTCCAACTAGAGCTGTTGGACAAGGGGGGAATGAGACCAGAAGAGCAGAGGAACATTCGAAGCAGGGTGGCAAGGGAGATGGGAGTTCTGCCCAGAATTTGGGTAGGAATGGGAAATTGGATCCCATACAAACTAAGAAAATGGTTTTACCTATTGTTAAAACAGAGGATGGTGGCAAAGGAAAAGCTGTTGACAGCCGTGAGAAGGGGGGGAATGCTGAAGCACATGATGAATGTAATGGGGGCAAAGTTGTTATGGAGGAAGGATCACATGATAATGAGGATCATACGTGTCCTTGGATTCAAGTTCCCCCACGAAGAAGAAGAACGACACGAGCACAGGGCAAGAATAAGGAGAATGTGGGCAGCAAATAAAATTTCAATATTCCAAAGCAAGTGGACTTGAATAAGGTTCAAGTGCCAGATAGTAAGTTGAAGCCCACTCATAAGCAGAACAGGATGGGGTTCAAGCAGAGGCTGCCATTTATGGCTGGTATAAGAATGGTTAACAGAGCCAATGCTCTGAAGGAGCTTAATCAATTGGGACCCATGGTGGAGGCGCCAGGAAAAGGAAGAAGGAGATGTTGGGAGAGTATGACGGTGTAGACATTAGCGGCGGGGACGCTTCCCCTTTGTTGTTTAATGTCTGACATACTAATATGGAACTGCAGGGGTGCCCGGAAGAAGCAGACTGGGTATTTCCTGCGTAGCCTCATTGGCAATAATGAGGTGATGTTTGTTGGCTTAG